ACAGGTGTATTTTCTCAGGGACACTGAGAAGAATGTAGCTAATTGTGTTTCCCTTTTCACTTTGGCCACCAGGAAACTCAAAAGCCAGATTGGTGGCTCCAAAGGAGCAGTTGTGTGACTTCTTGCTTATGCGTGTGTTTGCTTTTTCCCATGATGCACAATTCCTCTTGTAATCTATGTTTGTCCTGATGTTTACATTTTTATTGTAGATTTTTACTGTTTTATCTTGTATTTCCTGATGGGTCACCTAAACCTTTGGTAAAACATGCCAAGTAGAACTACCTTTTTGAGAGAAGTGTAGATTGCCTGGTGTGTATTTGAACTGATTATTCATCTCCCCCAAGACACAGCAGGCAGCAGCCCTGGATGATCCTCTGGGGCCATGCCCAGGCCTCGTAGCTCTGAGTCTGGAGGCCTTTGTCCGAGCCCTTTAGTGAGAGGAGGCGAGAAGGGAGTTGGGGAGCCCAGTGGCCGTTCCTCACTGTGCAAAGCTGCCCCGCCAAGTGGTCCTAGACGCCAGGGCACCTGTATTCAGGCTAAGAGACCAACCGGGAGCTCCAGGAGGAATCCTCGCCCTCCGGGTCCCACCTCTGATTTTTGTGTTGCCATATGGTCAGTTTTCAGAGCCCACCTGGGAAGGCCCCCCTTCCAGCCGCTTCTCTTCCCCAAGGCCTCTGTTCCTGCGGAGAGGCTCGCGCCCTGGGAACATCTCCCGCATAAGCAGCAGGGAGGAGCGCTCCCTTTTGGAGGCGTGTACATTTTAAAGGAAACCCTCTGCAAAGGGCGCCACCTCAGCCCAAGGAATGAACGTCGAATGGTGGAATTGCTACCTGATAGCATCGATTGAGGGAGGGCTTTCTGTTTTGCAGATGGAGGGAGATGTGTGGTTTCAGAGGGAAGGCAGGGGGTGGGGGGATGAGAGAGAGAGAGAGGGTACGAGATCAACCAAAGGACTTGTAAGCATGCATATAAGCATAACCCATGGACACAGACAGTAGGGGGGGTGAGGGCGTGTGCTGGGGGTGGGAACAGCTGGGAAGAGGTCAATAGGGGGAAAGGAGACATATGTAATACTTTCAACAATAAAGAATTTTTAAAAATACCTAAAAAAGGCGGGGGGGGGGGGGGTAGGGAGCCTTCCCAGAAGACATCAACGTCAGACAGGCAGGTGCTTCTGGGTGGGCCCGTGGACACGCGTGGTGTGAACTTGACTGCCAGTCAGGCAGCAAGTGGCATTGAGGGGAAGGGCGGGAAAGAGGAAGGGCCTGGGTCTTGCCCGCCCCGGCGGAGGGCACCTTTCTCGGTTCCTTCTTCCCAAGCCCGGACTGTGTCACAGGCCACCCCCGAAGTCTGCTTCCAGGGTCGCCCCCGTCCTGAGAGTCCTAAGAGAGCGGGAAGGTTCCTCTTCCAGCAGTGACCACCCGCTACCCAGAAAACCACCGGCCCCGCCCCCTGGGCAGGGGGCCGCTCACAGGGAGAACCTCTCACTCACCACCTTCTGCCTCCTTCCCCCTCCCAGGGAAGCCCTACGGGGCAGACGACTTCCTGCCCGTGCTCATGTACGTGCTGGCCCGCAGCAACCTCACGGAGATGCTTCTCAACGTGGAGTACATGATGGAGCTCATGGACCCCGCCCTGCAGCTGGGGGAGGGTGAGTCACTCTTGGGCGGTCTCTGGGCCCCGGGGGCCTATTGCACACCCCCAACCCAGCCCTGCGGGGGGTGCACTGGGCAGTCCAGTGAGCACCTCCTAGATGTCAGACTCCACTGAGCTTTGGGGGCACCGCACAGAGCCCGACACAGACCCTGTGCTGGTGGAGCTCACGGACTAGCAGGGGAGCTGGGCCAATCAAGGGACCATGTCACTGCTGCTTGACATATGCTGAAATGGTGAGAAGCCCAGAGGGTATGGGAGCTTGTTTACCCAGGCGGTGCAGTCAGAGAAGGCTTCCTGGAGGAGGTCACACCTGAGCGGAGCACGGGAGATTGAATAGGAACCAGCCAGATAAAGAATGGGGAACGGCCCTAGCTGGTTTGCTCAATGGTTAGAGCGTCAGCCCAAAGACTGAAGGGTCTCGGGTTTGATTTTGATGAAGGGCTCATACCTCGGTTGCAGGCTCGATCCCTGGCCCTGGTTGGGGAGCGTGCGGGAGGCAACCAATCAATGTGTTTCTCTCACATGGATGTTTCTCTCTGTCTCTACCCCTCCCTTCCACTTTCTAAAGATCAATGGAAAAAATATCCTCTGGTGAGGATTAACAAGAAAATAGAAGGGGAACAGCAGTTGCTAGTCGTGTAAAAGAGAAGGCTGCAGTGTCCAGGGGCTTCTGAGCGGGGAACGATGGTCATTTCCCAGGCTGGGGTGGCCCTGTGGGCGCTCAGCCCCCTGCTCAGCCAGCCCTGGGCCAGGTCCTCCGTGGGCGGAGGTTAAGGCTATGCATAAATGGCAGGGCTGTGGTCTGCTCCACCCCCCCTCAGTTTTCCTTCCCCTTTCTTCCTTCCCTCCCATTCCTCCCACCCACTCAGCCTCAGCCACGCCTCCACCAAGAATCCCAGAGGTGCAGCCTGCCCAGGTATCAGCTCTGAGGGACCCCAATTGTCCTCTAAGACATCCGCCTCGAAGGGTGAAACAAGGCTCTCAGGCCCCAAGTGGCCCCTTTGGGCTTTGTGGTTTTATGCTAAACCGACCCTCTTTGCATCTGTTTGCATTTTTAGCAACCATCGGTCTCTGAGCAACAGCTTCTGTGATTTCTTGGAAGGTCAGAGGAGCGTGGAAAGCATGACGTTTACTGTCACATGTGACTTTGGTTTGTGCCCTAGGACCACTAGATCTATTTTTCTCTCCTCCATAGTTGAAACTTCCCTGCAGTTGGAACGACCTGTCTCCCAGAGGGTGTAGGAACTCAGTAGAAGCCAGGCCTCTTCAGCAGTGATTATCAGCCACCCAGTACATCCATCCATCCATCCATCCACCCATCTATCCACCCACTCACCCATCCACCCACCCATCCATCCCCCCATCCATCCACCCATCTATCCATCCATCAACCCATCTATCCTTCTACCCACCCATCCTTCTATCTGCCTAGATAACTACCTACCCATTTACCCACACACCCATCCACCCACCTGTCCATCCACCGACCCATCTATCCATCTACCCACCCTTCTATCTATCTACCCAGATACCTACCTACCCATCTACCCACACACGCATCCACCCATCTATCCACCCATCTATCCATCCATCAATCCATCTATCCTTCTACCCACCCATCCATCTATCTGCCTAGATACCTACCTACGCATCTACCCACACACGCATCCACCCATCTATCCACCCATCTATCCATCCACCATCCCATCCATCCATCCACCCATCTATCCATCTACCCACCCATCCATCTATCTACCCAGATACCTACCCACCCATCTCCCCATCCATCCATCCATCCACCCATTCATCTGTTCATCTAACAGTGGTTCTCAACCTTCCTAATGCCGCAACCCTTTAATACAGTTCCTCATGTTGTGGTGACCCCCAACCATAAAATTATTTTCGTTGCTACTTCATAACTGTAATTTTGCTACTGTTATGAATCGTACTGTAAATATCTGATATGCAGGATGTATTTTCAGGGGTCGTGACCCACAGGTTGAGAACCGCTGATAGCAGCTACTCAATGAGGCCTTACTGTGTGCTTAGGGCCCCTGCCAGGCACTTAGGTTGCAGTGCAAGCAAGACTGGTGAGACTGATAGTCTCATGAAAATGCATGAATGCCTTATTCTGTTCTGTCACATCTAGTGGACGTTGAGAAGACAGGGAGAAGGCTGGTGGGATAGGATGGTCGGGCAGGACAGGGCTCAGATGACCAAGGGAGTCGCTGAGCACAGAGAATCTTCTCGTTACTTTATTTCTGTTTTCCAAATTTTCCACAGTGAGCATATGTTGCTCATCTTCCTGGGAACAAATCATTTACAAATCCTGTGAAAGGATTGACCCCAAACCGACGGGGCTGTTACCGAGTCTTAGAGACAAAGGATGGCGTGAGGCCGGGAGGCTCTGTGGTGGTCTCAGCACTGGCTCACTCTCCGGCAGTGACCAGCCCGCCCTGGCCACCAGGACTCCTAAATGGGGCTCCAAGCCAGGCACAGGGGCTGAGCAGGGGCAGGACAGGGACATCCTTGGCCCAACTACTCTCTCCTTATGGACCTGCACCCCCACCCCCATCCTGCCATGGCCTCCTGTGTCCTTCTTCCTGTTCCTGAAGCTTGTGGGGTTCCGGTGGAAAAGGTGATATCCTTCAGGCAGGAACACTGGTCTATTATGGGCGACAGTATGTTCCTGAGAAAAACGAAAGTACAAATAAATACAGAAAGGCCTTAAATGCTTTATAGTTTCTGACCCAAGGCTGCCTCAATCCCCTGCAGCCTGCCCTCTTTCAGACTTAAGTAGCCAGAGACCCTCACCTCACTTCTGGCCCTGTGAGGGGATTTCGAAGGAATCCGTGGGGTGTTTGCTGGAATAAAGATTAAACAGGACAAACCTAGCCAGGCTGCTACACTTGCCCCTCCCAGCAGCCGCCCCCTCCCCCCCACACACACACACACAGCAGCGTCAGACCCTGCCTGTGGGGGCCAGAGGACAAATGTCACACCATGCAGCACACACCAGGAGGTGGGATGGCTGGCATGGGTGCCTCCCTGCATCTGTGTTCCTAGGCCTATCAGGGCAGGAGGTCGTAGCACCCAGGCCAGGCCTCAACAGCTATTAGCCTCCTGTTCTGAGATGACTTGGGGATCCCCAGCTTGGGCAGGGGCTCCCACCCTTCAAGTCTGCCAGCTGTCAGGCCCCATCTAGAAGTATCTGGGCCCAACGATGAGGGACAGACACTGAATTTCCCCGGCTTCACCCTCACCTCCTAGCTGGGCGGTGGTGCCCAGGGTGCTCCATCGCCAGAGCCCCCGAGCGCTGGTAAGAGGGTGCCGACAGTCCCTGCCCTTGGTCCTCACGGAGCTCAGAGATGCCCGGACACAGGCGCCCTCGGGGAGTCCCCAGTCTTGAGCACTTCAGTTGCTAGAACCTCAGAGGAGAAGTAGCACAGGATGCAGTAAAACGAGCGGTGTGGGGGCTGGATTTCGGTCCCGGTTCTGCCTCTGATTGGCTGGAGACCTGGGGCAAGTGGTGCAACCTCTCTGGCTCAGGAAAGTGAAGGCACTGGGCTGGATTTGGGGTTTCCCACTTGTCTGGGCAGTTTTGTGTTCTGCAGAGATAGCCGCGGGCAGAAGGAGCGGTGGAGCTGGGCTCTGCCTTCTCGTGTTCCACGGTTCATAGTAGCACACGGTTCTGCGTTCAACAAAAAGCCCGCAAGCTGGGCTCCGGAGTCTGTGCACTGTGGGACCTTCCTGTTCCGCCAGCTGTTCCGCCAGCTGTTCCGCCTGCTGTAGTTTGGCAAAGGACAAGTGTTGGGGTCCCATTTTCTCTGCAGTGAGCCTATCTATCGGGTGTGAGAGGTCAGGGTAGATCAGGCTGGGGAGATGAGAAGTCGAGAGGTCCTACGCCTTAGGCTGATGGGACCCCAGCCCCCTGTGAGCCCCTCCCTGCAGCTCCCACCATCCTGCCACCATGGGATGGACAGGAGACCCCGGTAGCTGCGGGGCACCTGGCTGGAGCCAGCTCAGGTTCCAAACCGCTCCCAGAAGCAGCCGCATGGACTCATCCACCACGTCCGCTCTCCACGCCGGCTGACAGCTGGCTAATATCTTACTGGGGCAGTGAGTTTTACTCCTCAAAGGGCAACACTTTCTCCCCAAAGAGATCAGCTCCAAACCGCACTGTGGTTGGTGTCACCTGCCACCTAGTGGCCCTCGGTGGTACTGCATGGCATCTCACAGAGGGAAGTGGCCTGGGGGGGGCGGTCTCCTAGGCTGTGAAAAAAACAAAACAAAACAGGACATGAGCAAGAGGAGTGACTGAAGGACTTGGGGTTCCTTCCCCTTCTCCTGCGAGCACCTCCCTTAGGTCACCTCCCCACCCACCGTGCATTACTCATTACTAAGCACTGTTCCACTAGTATATCATCTCATTTACTTTTCACGTGGATATTATGGGATGTGCAGCCGAGGAAACAGGTGTAGAGAGGACACGAACTCACCTGAGATCACAGGGCAGAGACCTAGATCCTGCTCTGACTCCAGAACCGTTCTCCATCGGCCCACGGCACTCAGGTCCCAGCCAGGGACATGCAATCACGGATGGGAAACGGGACCATCAAGGCGCGCCAACTAGAGGACAGGGACTCCCGGGCAGCGGGGCTGGAGGCACCAGGAAAGGCCTCCGGTCACGCGCAGGCTTCCTGCTTCACGGAGAAAGGAGACCATGAGTGGCTCATGGCCCTTCTCTGACAAGGGACACCAGGCCAAGTTGTACACGGGCCCTGGCACACTTTTTTTTTTTAATGTCTCTTTCCTACTATGCCAGGGTGTGTGATCCTGTGGCCATAACCCCTTTATTATAACCACCACCAAACCCAGCCAGGGCGTGGCCTTCTCTCATGTTGGCTGTAGGGTTTGTAGGTAAATGTAGCTTCATCCGGTGGAAGTTAGGGATGCTCTAAGCTGCAAATAACTCATGATGCAGCTAATAATGGTTTAAATCAGAGTAAAGGGCTGTATGTCTCTTGCACCAAGAAGTCGTGGGGTATGCAACTGATCATGACGGTGGTTTTTAGCCTTGCCATCAGGAAAGCGTGGACCCAGCTCTTTCCCGTGTTCTTAGGGTGTGAGCCTTTGTCTATGTGCCTCTCACTTCTGGTCACAAAACAGCTGCTATGCCTCGGGGCTTACGTCTGTGTTCCAGGTCGGAAGAAGGGAATGGGCAAAACCCAAAGGGACGTATCAACTGAGTCTGCGCCTTTTCTCTTTATATATATAATTAACAGAAACTACTATTTCTTTTCAATTGAGTTTCTTGGTGTGACATTGGTTAATAAAATTATATAGGCTTCGGGTGTACAATTCTCTAATACATCATCTGTGTCGTGTGCTCACCGCCCCATAGTCTGCCCCACCCAGGGACTTCCACTCACATCTAAATAGCCAGAACGGCCCTAACTGGTTTGGCTCAGTGGATAGAGCGTTAGCCTGCGGACTCAAGGGTCCCAGGTTCGATTCCGGTCAGGGGCATGTACCTTGGTTGCGGGCACATCCCTGGTGGGGAGTGTGCAGGAGGCAGCTGATCAGTGTTTCTAACTTTCTATTCCTCTCTGTAAAAAATCAATAAAATATATTTTAAAAAAATAAAAATAAATAGCTAGAACGGGGTCTCCTGCCCTCTCCCCCAAGTTGCAAGGGAGTCAGGGCAGTAAGCATTTTCTACTGGTTGTTACTTCCCTCAAAAAGGTAAAGGTCAGTTAGTAAGGAAGAACGAGAAGATGGAGTTTGGGTGGGTCACTAGGAGAATCAGCCTCATGTCAAAAATCATTGTCCCGGTACCTAAAGGGCTGGGGGAGAGGCCGGGTAAGTGGGAGGGAATCCCACGAAAGTCCTCCTCCCTCTCTGAAGTGAGGGGCTCCCTTTGTGGGTGGGCCCAGGCGGCCCTAGTCAACCCGCACACCCTTGTCTCCGCAGGTTCCTACTATCTGACCACCACCTACGGGGCCCTGGAGCACATCAAGAACTACGACAAGATCACGGTGACCAGGCAGCTGAGTGTGGAGGTGCAGGACTCCATCCACCGCTGGGAGCGCCGGCGCACGCTCAACAAGGCCCGCGCCTCCCGCTCCTCCGTGCAGGTGACGCCTGGGACAGGGGATGGGAGGAGACCAGGCACACACACCATCCCCACTGCCATGGGAGGAGACTGTACCCCACACCATCCCCACTGCCATGGGAGGAGACCACACCCACACCATCCCCACTTGTGGGGATGGTGTGTGGTAGGGCCAGTGTTGGTGCCAGTTGAGCTGGGCTTCCCATCCGGAAAGAAAGGGCGATCCCAGTGACGCTCTTGACACAGCACCTGGTACGCACCCCTGTCACCATCCTTCCACAAGGGGCAGTCCCGCACATACCCCTTCCTACCTGCCCCCTGGGTGCTTGGGAAAGAGGCCTCCCTCGCAGCCATGGTGTAAACTGTAAAGGGCTGGTGTTTTCCCACTTTACAGTTGAGGAAATGGAGGCTCAGAGAGGTCAGGGTCACACAGTGAGTGAGAGCAGGGACTGGAGGGCCCATCCTTCCACCATAGGATCCTCCCTCCCAGGCTGGTGGGGGAAGGTGTAGGTGCCGTTGGTGGGTGTGTGTGTGTGTGTGTGTGTGTGTGTGTGTGTGTCCATGCGCCTATGCGTGCTCCCATCCCCAGCCACATGCAGAAGCATCGCCTCACCCTGCCCTGCCCCTCTCCACCTGGCCTAAACCCTCCACCTTTCAGGCCCAGCTCCCCTCCCCCTTCCACCAAGCCTCTTCC